CTAAACCTTGAACCCTAAACCCTGCTAATACCCTAAACCCCATAGCACCCTAATACCGAGGGCCCGGCTACTTGCAGCAGCTCCTGGATCTTCTGGCGCTTGGCGTCCTTCTCTGACTCCATGCTGGCCTCCGCCTCCTTTAGCTTCCGGCGCCGCTCCACTTCGAAGCCCAAAAGAAAGAGGAGATCCTGTTTAGGGCTTTTTGGGTCTCTGGTTTAGGGGTATTTAGGGTTATTTAGGGTTTTAAGGTGCAGATCCTCGTGGTGCTGCACCTCCTTCTGGCGCTCTGCACACTCCTTCGCGGCCTCCTTCTTGCGTTTCCGCAGCTCCTTGGCTTTTCCCAAGGCCGTCTCCTCATGCGCCGAGGCCTCCATCACTGCCTGGCTCAGGCGCTCCACCCCTCCTCGACCAGCTTCCTGGTTCTCTGTTCGGGCCATATTAAAAATCATCATTGTTAATAATTATTAGCGGTTTTAGTATAAGAAAAATGTAAAATTGAAGCCAACAAGGACCCAGCTTCTGTTTTTCGGCCTCGACTTCCTGAGCCGCGGCGATCAGGGCATCCTGCTCGGGGAGCTGGGACTCGAGGCGTGCCTTCATGTCGCAGGGACTCGTGGACTTCAGCTCCAGCAGCACGCGCGCATGCAGGCCCTGCCGGCGCTTGCGCTTGCCTGCGGCCTCCTGAGCCTCCAAAGCCTCCGCTTCTGCCTGCTCCGGGTCTTCCACTTCATCCGCTTCTGCTTTCTCCTGCCCTTCCGAATCCGGTGCCTGCGGGGCATCCGAGATCCTCGTGCCGTCTGGCAACGTGCCCGAGTCCTCACCCCCGGCTTCGGGTATCTCTGCGACGGCACTGGCATCCTTTGGCACAAACTCCCCAGCCTCTGCATGGCAGGGTTTCGTGGGCTCTCCCTGCTCGATGTCCTCGGCGAAGGCAACGGAGATGGGCGGAAGAGGCATCTCGAAGCCAGAAAGGGAACCTCAGCACTAGAGAGCCCTGGACAGACACCACACCTCCGGCACTACACTCGCGTGCAGGTAAGAAGGCGTAGGCCCCAGGCCGGGATAGGAGCACTGGAGCAGAGATGCGGATTCCCGGATCTATAGATCGGTGAAGCTGAAAATGGCGGCATGCACCACACGCATCGAAGGATGAAGCTTGTGCATCCTGCGCAAGTTTTGGATTCGGGAAGCTGACTCATAGGCATACATTAATTCTGGATCTTACATCCGCCACACTAACCCGCGCCTCCTTCAGACCAAAGCAAGACTTACTGCTACAACATGACAAATCAATACAGCTGTGCAAGAGGGTCCCGTCGATGCCTTCTCAATCCCTTTTCTCTTTAGAACCAATAGGACCAGTACAGGGACCCTTCTGGAGTCCTTCAACGAACTCTTAAAAGACAATTATGTAGAACCCTCACAGAACCCAAGGAAGCCCAAATCCCTAAGCCCTAAACCCTGAAAGCAACTCCTCAAAGAAAGCCCTAATCCCTAAACCCTAAACCCTGGAACGAACTCCTGAAAGTTCCAAGCCCGAATCCCTAAACCCTGAACCTTGACAGGAACTCCTTTTAAAGGAAGCCACGGTAGCGTTTTCTGGGGCCTTACAGCGGGGCTTTCGGCTGAAAAACCCGCCGCCGGCTCGAGCCTGGCGGGTGGAAAAAGGTTTAGGGTTTAGGGGTTTAGGGGTTTAGGGGTCTAATCAGCGTTTAGGGTTTAGGGTTTAGGGGTTTAGGGTTTAGGGGTTTAGGGGTTTAGGGGTTTAGGGGTTTAGGGGTTTAGGAGTTTAGGGGTTCAGGGGTGTAGGGTTTAGGGTTTAGAGCTCCGGGTTCCTTTAGAGATCAAGGTCTACCCAAACGATTTTGGGACTTAGGAAGTAGGGTTACTATTGGGTTCACTATGCTTATAATTGCTTATAACTTTATTGAATGCACTTACAACCATACTTTAGGGCTCAGGTTTGGGGTTTAGGGCTTCGGTTTTTGGCGTAAGTTTAAATTAAGGACATAAGTAGTGCCGTCTTCTAACGTTCAGGGTTTGGTGTTTGGGATTCGGGGCCTGGGGTTTGAAGTGTTGGATTCTGTGACGTGCTGAAGCCTTGTGGCCGACGGCTTGTTCTTACAGTTTACGGTGTAGGGTTTAGGGTTTCGGGTAGCAGTCGCGAGTGTCGTCCTAGACACTTATATCTGGGCTTCAGAAGTGTTCATACTGCCTCATGCACCACTAAACCCAAAACACTAAACACTAAAAGTTTCCGGGAGGTCACTAGAAGTAGACGCACCTCCTAGCACAACTCCGTTGCTCCAGTGGGCTGCTGTGGCTGTTGTTGCTCAGCGAACGGCGACCAGAGGAGGAGCAAGAGCCCTTCCTTTTTCTACCATCCTCGTTCAACAGGTAGATGGCCAAGAATAGCGCCTGCAAGATGATGAAGGCCACCAGCACACCCAACGCTGCCTTGGCAGATGACTCGGTCTAAGGCTTGTGTCTAGGATTTAGGGTATTTTTGCGATTCCTATGGGCTTTCCCAATGACTGTCAATTGGCATTCTATATGTGGCTTTATGTGTTCAAACTATGGCTTCGGGCTTAAGTTTCGCTACGGCTTAGGCTGGCGTGTTTATAAGTAGGGTTTATGACTGAGGGCTTGGGTTTGAGGGTAACTCCTTCGAACGTGGAAACATATGCAAACGAAAAAAATAATATGATCACCTTTTCGGGCAATTTCGACCGTTTTGTCGCTGCATCGAGTCGTCGGCCACAGACCCTCCTGCCGAACCTTCCCTGCCTCCGACACCTTACAGTCTCAAAGTCTTGGGTCTTAATAGCCATGTCGTCCTCCTCGTCTTGAGGTTATTACAGCCGCGGCGCAGCTGTTGCTCGAGAACGGCAGCAACAACCGAAACGATAAAGACGGTAGCACTGCCACGGCGAGAAGTCGACAACATGTTGGCTATGAACATGGCGAAGCGAGTAATGAGAAAGGTAATCTTCCACATCCACATGGCCGCACTGACAATGACAAATACAGTGTTCATGCTCATCATGCAACCACCATGGTTGGGTTGTGGTGAAAAGCGCCATCAGCATGTTCTGTACTTTTTCCATGCCAACCGTGAATGTGTCTACGGAGGTTGCAGTTCGTATCGCTCATAATCAGCATGAAGGAGGACCATGATAAGATAACACCGCTATCTCGCAAGTCGGAAGATGTAAGAAGCTTGGAAGAGGGCCACCAGCGCCATAGCAGCCTGGTCGATGAAGCATTAAGGCTTTGCCTTTCAATGGCTGACTAGACTGTCCTTATTTTTGCCCCCCTTAGAAGGGTAGCTGCTTGTCCTGACATTTCGAACCCGAAGCTTTGTGGGGCAGAGCCTGAAACGCAAAGGGCTTGCTGTTTTGTTGGAGCCCCTTTTTGCGACTGCATCCTCATCCGTTTCTACATTTGCGTGTAGAACTTAGGGTCGAGTGGCAGTTTATGGTGCTTTTGGCTGAGATTCGGGCTGAGGGTTAAGGAATGCTTCCCAGACCACGGATTCACGGCTTTTTGACCGAAGCCCAAAAAACCCTGCACCCCTCCCCACACTTGGACGCAAAAAACCTTAAACCCCCTAAGGCTCTATCACCCTAAACTCGGCAACCCAAACTCTTTGGCAGAAACCGTAAAACCCCCCTTAAACCCAAAACCCTAGGAACAGTTGTTCTACAGCAGAAGCAGTCGGGCATACTTGTTTTGTGTCATGTTGTAGCCTTGGGCATATTTTTGGAATTGATTTGTCTTTCTTTCATATCTTTAGCTTGTTTTAAACCGACTGTCTTTGCTGAGGATGCTTTTAGCTTGCTCACATTAAACTATTCTCCCATTTCACATCATGATGAATCTGCTTGTTTGCTTTTTGGCTTGTTCTTCTGTACATTCTACGTGTGTCTAGAACTACTTTCATCCAAACATCCGGAAACCCTCTGTTACCTTCCCCCTGGAAACGCTCTAACCTGAATCGCAACCTCTAGAGAACTCTGAAGAATCCTACAGGGCCCTTTCAGTAAGCTACTGTTGATGATATAAATCGTGCATTACCTTAAGGACCCTAAACTATGGGAATTATGGTATATTCCTTATTGTGGGTAATGCAGGATTTATATCATCAACCGTACTTCGTCCAGAACTGCCACACTCAAAACCCGAAGATATCAAAACGAAAGCGCAAGCCCGAGTAGATTCTGCAAGCCGAGCCACCCCAAAAGAAAACATAATAAATGAAGAAACCCCAAACATCCCAAGAAACCCCAAACATCCAGCAGCAAAAACCACAAAAACCAAAAACGCTCCCGAACCAATATTCTGGTGCCCCCGCCGCGACGCCAAAAAGCGGATGCCGCGGTGCGATCCGGGCCACCAACTCCAGTGCCGGCCCCTTCTTTAAGGTTCTCTTAACGGTTCCTGTACAAGTTTAGGGCTTAGGGCTCACGGTTCCTTCATGTTAAGGTTCCGAGCTCCGATACTAAGGTGGGAGGGTTTAGGGATTAGGGTTTGGGGTCCATATACGGGTTTAAGGATATGAAGGCACGGGATTGGGATGTTTAGCTGTGGTCTTTAAAGTTTGGATTTAGGGTTGAGAAGGACAAACTACGTGGCTGGCAAGTGAGCCAAAGGTTCATGCTACTGCAATATGGCTTTCACAAAGAACTTTGGTTCCAAGGCTGTACTCAAGTTGAGGATGCATGGGTTTTGACTTCAAGGCTTTCTAAACTACAAATTTTAAGAGTTTCGCATTTGACAAGTTGGAGGAGGCTTGCTTAATGGATGCGGTTGAAGATGCTATGAGGTGTTTGCTTTGCAAGCATTCACAGGCACTTGGAATGGGTTTTGCTCGCAGGGCTTGTGGTGACCGCTTTAAGAATAGATGCCCTTAAGCCTAAAGCCCCAAACCGCCGACCCTACACTGTCTACCGAATTCAGGTCTTGGGTGTGCTGGCATCCCTATACTCTCTCCAACATGTGCATTCCTCAAGAAACCAAACTTTCATGCTTGCCCTCTAGCTGGGTTCGGATGCTTCGTCTTTCAAGGTCGACAGTTTGGGAACACGAAGATGGCAACCTGGAACGAAGCTTGTGCGTTGGCCCTGGCTTTATGGTTGGGTTCCGGGATCTCATGGAAAGCAAACGTCTCCGCACGGCCTCCACTTCACGAATGTCCTGCAGTTGGACAGGGCTGCCAGTGACCGGCGTCGCCATTTGCGAAGGCTCTGCAAAACCACGTTCCTTCCTACCCTCGGCCCTACATCCCAACGCCTACCTGGGCAAGGTCATAAGGTCTTTCTTTCCGGGCTGCAGACAATTGTAACACTGCAGACAAAAGTGGTAGTGCACTCAAGAATTGAATTTCAGAGCTTGGAATTTCTGCTATTGGGTGTTT